TTTAGGCGAGGCGACAGTTAATTTTGTTTTTCGGGCATTACATTCTTCGGATTTTTGTTTATTGTGTATTTTCATGTTGTTGGATATTTACATGTGGATTAGTTATGGTTTTGTGTGCTGCCTTTGGCTGTAATTCTCTCTCAGGTCGAGAAAAGGTGAATTTTTTTCGATTTCCGAAAGACAAGAAACTTCGAAAAGTTTGGTGCAAAAAGATCGGTCGTGCAAACTCTGCTAGTAAATACAAAGTGTATTCACCAAATAAGAACAGTCGGTTGTGTTCGCTACACTTTGAAGAGGATCAATTTACACATAGTGCATCATTTTTTAGAGACAATTGGTTTTAAAGCAACATTCAGGAGAACTCTCAAGACAGACGCCGTGCCCACCATTTTTTCAGTCACCGCCGGGAAGCGGTTAGAAATTCAACAAAAAAGAAGGCACTCTTCAGAAGTTCTGCTTGAAAAAAAAAAAGAAAAAATCAAGTAGGTTTTTATTTTTAGATTGCAGTTGTTCATTTCATATCTAAATAAATTGCAATAAAACTATCAAATACTGCTGGTATAGACTGTTTGGACCAAAAATAGCAAGAAATCAAAGAGTTGAGTGGCAACTAGCCATTTTTCATGGTGGACAGTCTTCCAGTGTTTATGACTTCAAGTTAATGCATAATTTATTTATATATTTTGCTTTTGGTTTAGTGTCAACATTTACATTTTCAAACATTTTTTGAGAAAGCCTGAGTTTTTCTTTACCAAATCAAAACTATAAATATTACTTTGTGTAAACATTTAATATTTATCTAAGCTTGATTACCAAACAAGTTCTTGCAACTTACATTAATCACTTTTGAATCTAACCAGTACTGGTGTCATATGAATAAACATGACCCAATTTTTGGATAAGGGCTCGAATCCATGATCCAAGGGTTGAGAGGCAGACACCTTAACCCAGTCCATGCGACAGTCAATGATGAAATTTTGCGCAGATGTGTTCATACAGTGGTTATCATGGTACCTTCAATGTGACACTTTAGTGCTATCCCATGAAAAGCGTCGTATGGTCCCAAAGTAAAAGAAAGCATTGTCGTAAACCCGAAAACGATGGGCGAAACTAAACAAAACGGAATTATTGATTCATTATAGCATTTCAACTCTGAACTGGGATTTTCATAGTATTGTATGTGAAATAGGGAAAACCTGAATCCCCCAAGAATTATTTTTGGGTAATTGTTAAATTTCATTTTACCGTAGAATTTTTCGTACGTACAGAAAACTTGTATAATTTGAAACGAGAGTGACGTCAAATATTGGACATTCCATATTTACAACTTCTTTTCTTGTAATGTAACTAATATAGCTCATAACAATAAGGTTATGACTGTATCACACTAACAACGTTATTTTGCAGGCAATTTAAGTCAATATAATTTTAGAGATTTATGAATGCCCGTATTCTGGAATGGTTTCCTCCCTTCAAATTCCCAATCTTCAAAATATTTCTCATGTAAGATTTCCATACCTGCCCTTTCAAAGATTTTCTTTGAAAAATTGGATGAACCTTCTACTTTAATATACACCGGATCGATTTCAAAATTTCGAACAAAATCAATTGCAAAGTTAAATATCTTTGTCCCATAGCCACGTTGTCCGTATTTCGGAGTCACTCCCAAAGAAAGGAAGTGAAAAGCTTCCTTAGTTTGAAAATGACCGAAGAAATCCGCATTCCGGTCACAATCTGCCAAGCAGCGAACGAGGTCTTTGTGGCCTTGGTATTGAATACCTTCAATATCACATCTGTCATCAAAACGGACGATTTCGATGATTTGAAAGGCAATTGGATCATCATCTTCATCATGCAAGAACATTAGAGAAAGACCAGTTTTCATACCTTTCTTCCAATACTCTTCAACATCCTCTGTCCACTTCATTCCAAGACATTTATTCATTGGTTCCTGTGTAATAAAATATTCTCGTGCCATTCTTAAAGCAATGTCTTCATTGGCCTTAGTAATTAAGACAAACTTTACTCCTGGTTCTTTGAATTTGCTTGACGATTTATCAAATGCCTGAAATGAAAATTTAAACAATATAAAAAACAGTCAAACTTCGTTCGCTGGAACTCGGAGGCCCGGTGCAAATTTGTTCGAGAGTTCGTAGTTCGAGCCAGTCGAGGTTGAACAAGTATCATGTACTATATGGTATTTTACGTGAAGGTTTTCCAGCTTACCTCCGTCAAATGATAAAAACGTCAACATAAGTGTTTGTCGAATACGTCATTTCTTCCAAATATTAAGAATTATTGTCGACAAATACATATCAGAGTTTTCAGAATGAGTATTAATGGTACACTATTTGTATCATTTTATAAAAAAATCAAAAACACGGTGACAATTCAAGTTACATAAACCACGGCTGTAATTAAAGTCCTGTATGAACATTTACTGGGTAAACGTCATTTATTGACTTTTGCAGATTTCACTTATTTCGCAAGGTATATTCTTTGTATCTTTAATTTATACGGCAATAAAAATATTATCATAACAAACAAATTGGTTACAACACCTCTAATTGTGTATCAATTAACCTTAATTGCCGTTATCACGATCACGAGATGCAAAAGACATGTGACGCCGAATATCACTAATTAAGAATTACTAGTAATTAAGAACATGTTTACCCACAACTCTTGTTGTTTTTTTGTTCGACTGAAAAGGTATAATTTTCACTATATTTCTGCCGAAGGAACCATAGATTAGGTCCTAAAGTTCAAGCTATCCGAGGTAGAACAATATATATGATATAGCATTTTTGCCGGGATTTAGCCATGAGTTCGGGCGAAGGGAGGTATTCGAGCGATCAGAGTTCGAGCGAAGTTTAAACAGTCCAAAATATAGCAGGCAAGATCAACAATACATTCCAACAAGCCTGAAATAACAATTCAAACAAAATTCACAACTATGTTCCTTGCTTAATACATTGCATGCCAATTCATCTCAGATTTTGAGTCTAATGGCCATTTGTCTTTCCCCAAAAGAATGACTCAGAAATCACGCGGAAAATGCCACTTGTCGGTTGCTGAAAATTTAGTAATTTCTGTTGAAACAAATTGATCAGTCAGCGGGAAAATTAATAAATTCGATAGAACAGAATACTAAGATTTAAATGAGTATAAGACGGTTTTTGCAAGTGTTGTGCCGAATGTTATTAATATCCTTTTGTATTAATTTTGTGCACATTAGCAATTATTAGATTTTAAGAGAACAGCGTGATGTTTTCGACACGACAGCGGGATGTTTTCGACAAGAAAAAATACCTATATAGAAAGAGATCGGATAAGAAAAACAGAACCCTTACAAACACCCAACATGCAACATTTTAAAATCAAAGAACGCCCAAATTGCAAGATTGAAACTGTTGCAAGCCCTGTTTTATTGAATCTGTCCATGGTGTAGATAGGTTAGCTGTCCTCCTCTCCTCTTTTCATTGGTAAGTGCAGAATTCACGTTGAAAATGACAATAGCAGTCATATGTCCGTTTATAAATGTTATTGCAAGTACAAATGACCAACAAGGAAGAGCATCGAGCACGGAATATAACCTACGCAATATATTGAGGCAAGCAACGGAACTAAAATGAGGCAACAATGTTTAACACAAATTTTACAATAGAAATATAAAGAGTACATTGAAGGTTCGAACACGTTATTAAAGTAGTGTAAATTGAAATTGATTTCAAATCCGTAACATAAATAGAATTAAAAGACAAAATGCACTTACCTTTTGTATCTGGTCCTCAGATAAATCTTTCAAACTTAAACTTTCAGCCATGTTTTACTGACAAGAAAGATTCATAAACATACAACGATCTAATATCACGAATCTGTACCTATGTACTTTTCTATATAACAATCTTCACCTGATATTGATATTGCATCCTATTACACGTCTATCAATCGTGCGTTATCTTCCATTTATCGTCTCATGTTTTGTTTACAGATGTTACATGATGATTTGGTAATATTAATGGCAAGGAAATAATTGGCCCTAGAAAATTGTGGCAACCACCGGTAGAAAATAATAAAAATTAAAATGTCGAATTTTGTCGGTTGAACCCTTTTTCTATAACAGATGACCATTTACAAAGAAGACTTGACATAAAATTACTTATTTCAACCGATGAAAACAGCGAATAATTTAAAATAAAATGACTGGGGTCGACCATCTGTATAGCTGGGTAGTTAAACAATGGATTTTAAGCGGTAGTGTTGTATAGTAGCAAGAGAACGCACAGATGTTTCACATTTAAATAATGCATAAGTGTACAAGTCATCTGCCAAATTCGAACTGCCTAGACTGGGCTTTTTGACCACTTTTTATAATGACAGCTATGTAAATGTTACGAAATACATACACTCTCAAATACATCATTAATCATTCTGACATTTGACGACATTTGACCAGTACAATCTAAAAGGTGGTTTCGTATATAGTTATATATTATGTCATGTTCACATTATGAAAATACTCAAATCTTCGTTGGCATTCATTTGAATTATATTACATGTATATGACTAAGTAAACTTAAAATGCAGAATGCAACAACCCTTCCTTTCTTATAAAAAAATATTAAAAAAAGATTAATTTTATATATTCAATTTTTTATATATATATATAAAACTCTAAAAATTTGAAATCACTTAACATCTATGTTTGCCCCCAAGGTAAGGATGCGTTATAACGTCCTTTTGATATTTTATTTAAAAGAGTAAAACGCCTTAGGAAACAATATTCTAAAATCTTCGGTCAATAGACTTTTTTTCTCATTTTTAACAGAGGCTTCGGATACGAAACATGTCAGGTAAAAAATTATTTACTTTTGGGGCTTATAGAATTGAACAATTTTGTAATGTTTTTTTATTAAGTAAAAAGTAATTATTGTTAAATGTTAAGATAAACTTTATGCATCTTACTGGACGTATTTTTGCGTCATCTTTTATTTCTATTGCATTTTGGTAATAAGTTCAGTTGTAGCTATTGAGAAACTGATTTGGAAGTCAAAGTACCACTTTGTTTTTACTTTCCTATCTTTCTATTAAATTGTATTACTTTCAACACTATTTTCTTCCTCACGTGTTCTTTATCCATTATAACAGCATAATAAAACACAACTCTGCCCTTTTGACAAAATGAAAATAAATTATTTTCTGAGGCATAATCTGCCTTTAACATGTAATTTAGTGTAAAACTATTGTAAAAGTCTCTATAAATTCATTCGCCAAGTGCCAATGAACACTTTTTACCATCATTACATATAACGGTTAATTCTGTTCAGGGAAGTTATTGCGGATATTTGCTTGCCATAGGGTATAAGATTTAAGATAAAGCGTTTATAGCTACCTAGTACCTTATAGTACCTCATTTGTTAACGGACCATACAAATGACAAATAAGCGGAATGAAAAAGGTAATAACGGTAAGAAGCGTTCTAAAGACGAAACATTTTCTGTGTAATTTGATCAACGGGAAAAGCATGACACAGGTTGCAACAATTCACAACGGTGACGTCATCGTTGTCCTTCTCTACCACAACTAATGGATACTTACCCAATATACAGATGTCACCTCCACTATATCTTTGTCAATTCTACCCAGCACATCTATTTATAGTTTTAAATTACTTTTCAGTGCAGCAGTTATCCATCCCGGTAACACCGACATCTCCAGAATCCTCATCTACCCTGACTGACTTTTACGCTTTATCGTATACAAGTCTATAATGGCAAAGTTAACTGCTGTTGAAACAAGCCAAAGATCTATGTCGGCTAAATTGACAGAACTGGGTGAAATTGAATTTGAAATAAGCAAAATTTCACAAAAGTTGACACCAGTTAAAACACGAGTAGTATTCCTTGAAAATGAAGTGGTTTCCAAAACGCAATAGTGGAGGAGTTACCATATGAATCGTATTGAACTGGTCAGAAAAATGATAAAGGTGTAATTTGGTTTAAATTTACGAAGTCATTCTTTGGCACAACAAATTATTTGTTTATAAGTTGCAGCTACACCCCCTAAAGATTTTAAAAACAGTAATTCGCCACTATTTTTTCCAGCAACTGGCGGAAGATATTAGAAGATATAGCCGATATAGCAATTTAATTTCAACAGCTGATCTTAATCCTAGTATAGGTCAAAGGTCATGCATCATTGAAAATATAATATTTAACAATAATATTGCCTGTTGAGGAACACTCATCGAACACTATACCACGACATTCATCATTTGAGCACATAATTTTCTTATTCTAATAATATCTGTCTGCTAGAGCGAGAATTGAGAATTTGTCGATCACAATCGGCAAACTGTATATGTTTCAATCTGTCACGTAGTAAGTGTTGTGGATTATATTATCACGGATTTTGAAGTATCTTCTTTGGTAGATACTATGAATGTACTTAATTTGAAGGAATTCTCTGACCTTTAACAAATTGCATTCAAGTTCAACTTGCAAAATATGAAAAATTAAGTTGTAAATGACTTAACATTTGATAAGATAATTTGGGAAAACTGAGATATAGATAAATTATGGGCAGTGTTAAATGAAAAGAAAATCATGAAATCACAAGCAATTGAATTATTTTTAAGCGATTGTGCTATTAATGCCTGCATAAATAATTCTTCAAATCTGATATCCGAATTCTAAAGATGGAAACAGATATTTATTGTAGACCTAGGTATTAAGAACAAACACTTGTTTTTAAATGCGCTTGTAGATTTTTTCTGTTTAAGCTTAAATAAAAAAAGTAAGTATGATGAAAGAGTAAGAAACTAGCTTTGACAAGTCTTACTAAATCAAGCAGCTGTATAAAATTTTGGAAATACATTAACAAATTTTATTGCAAAGTGAATAATGCTAATTATGATATTAACCTAGCTGATTTTTCAAAATTATTTTAGTTACTGCTTCAAACAAACAACATGAAAACACCTTTAACTCAAATGACTTTACCGACACAGATTAACAAATAGTTACTGATATGTCTTTTTCGGTATAGGAAATTTGCAAAACGATCTCGTGTTTAAATAAACATAAAAGCTGTGATATGGGGGTATCTGGCCGATTTCTGTATTGATCCGAAGGAATCCATTGCTCCATATGTTGTTAAAATATTTAAAACAATTTGTGATAAAGGAGTTTAACCAGAGGCGTTGAGCGAGGGGACATTGCTTTTGTTCCCATCTATGAAATGCATGGAATCTTATTATCTAAACTACAGAGGAATAACTCTTTTCAACTGTGGTAGCTAAGATATCAATAATTAGTACAGTCCGGTACAAGATGTAAAAAGATACAAGATGGTCAAGGCTACGGTGTTAATTCAAATGCCAAATATTTTAGAAAGGATAAATCACTTATTCTAACATTTTTGATATTTTGCTTAGACTCAAACAAGGGGAACCACTCTCGCCACTGTTGTTTATTTTGTAGATGCTCCTTTAAGTCTGTATGGTTCCGAAGTCTAGGGGACTTATGATTATATTGATACGATTAGTTGACTAAATCCACGTTAATTTTTATAAAAAAGTTCTTGGGGTTCGTTCTTAAGCATCAAGTGCTGCTGTCTTTGGAGAGCTAAATCGATTTCCGCTTTCTATTAATTTGCAAAGATAGTGCTCTTAAATATTGGTTAGATATAACGAAATCACTTATCTCAATCATATAGAGCTGCGTGATTTGTTAAATGACAACAACAAAGTAACCTGGGCATCAGAGAATAAATGTTTATTAGATAATTTAGGGTATAGCTATTTATGGAATACAAACAACATTGATACAAATTATATGGAATATATGTTTAAACAAAGGTTACGTCACATGTTTAAACAAAGATTACGTAACAAATATGTACAAGCTTGGAATGAAACTGTAGCAAATAAATCTAGTTATCCTACTAAAGACAATTTAAAACTCTATTTGTGTACGAAACAAACTTAGATTTTGTTAAATATGACATTCATAGAAAAAATGTCTCGTCTAAGATTATGCTAACATTCTCTTGAAATCGAAAGTGGAAGATATTCTAGTACTGATAGAAACCTTAGAATATGTAAAATGTGTTCTCAAAATGTTGAATCTGAATACCATTTCTTGCTATGTTGCCCCACGTATAGTGAACTCAATCAAAAATATATATAATTAATAGTTCCTTTGCATGTTTGAATAACTTTTGTAGAATAGAGAAAATAAGAATCCCTTTAAGAAAGCCCAACGCGACAAAATTGATTTTTTTATGCGTTTATTTAAGGTCGCCGCCGGAAAGCCCATATGGGCGACCGTTCACTAAAGTTGGGTCATTCTAGAGCGTCCCGCCGAGATTTTTCGTCGATTTTTTTCCAGCTTTATTGGTGGAGGAAGAACCCAGGTGCCCCTCCGGGCATTATTTCAGGCACGAGCGGGCACCTGGGTAGAACCACCGACCTTCCGTAAGCCAGTGAGGATCGAACCCTCAGTGGTGAGGGACCTGTGATCTCAAGTCAGCGACTTTAACCACTCGGCCACGGAGGCCCCTGACAAAATTGAAAATGTTGCAGGCTCGGTTTTTTTTACCTTGTTCATGGACTGTACTGTAAAGTGCAAACTACCTTTCACGGTTCCTAGCGCCGTCTTAAGCAGAATTCAACATTTTAACATGAAAAAGATGAAATTTTGGGTTCATATCGCGGTAATCATGAAACCTTCGATGTAACTCTTTCGTGCCATTCCTCCATGAAAAGCGACGTATGGTCCCAAATTAAAAAAAAAGGTTGTGTCCAAAATCAGAAAACGATGGGCGGAACTTAAAAAAAATGAACTCTTGATTCATTTTGGCATTTTAACTCTGAATTGGGAATTTCATACTATTGTACTTATGTGAAATAGAGTAAGTCGAAATCCCTCAACTAGACTGTTCCCTTTTTCTTGTAATGTAATTAGAATATCTGATAACAATAAAGTAATGACTGTATCACACTAACAATGTTATTTTGCAGACAATTTCAGTCCGTAGATTTTTAGAGACTTATGAATGCCTGTATTCTGAAATGGTTTCCTCCCTTCAAATTCCCAATCTTCAAAATATTTCTCACGTAAGATTTCCATACATGCCCTTTCAAAGATTTTCTTTGAAAAATTGGATGAACCTTCTACTTTAATATACACCGGACCGATTTCAAAATTACGAACCATATCAATTGCAAAGTAAATTATCTTTGTCCCATATCCACGTTGTCTGTATTTCGGAGTCACTCCTAAAGAAATGAAGTGAAAAGCTTCCTTAGTTTGAAAATGGCCAAAGAAATCCGCATTCCGGTCACAATCAGCCAAGCAGCGAACGAAGTCTTGATACGCTTGGTATTGAATACCTTCAATATCACATCTGTCATCAAATCGGATGATTTCGATGGTTAGAAAGGCTATTGGATCATCATCTTCATCATGCAAGAGCATTAGAGAAAGACCGCTGTTCATATCTTTCTTCCATTGCTCTTCTACCTCGCCCGTCCACTTCAATCCAACACATTTACTCATTGGTTCCTGTGTAATGAAATATTCTCGTGCCATTCTTAAAGCAATGTCTTCATTGGCCTTAGTAACTAAGACAAACTTGACTCCCGGTTCTTTGAATTTGCTTGACGACTTATCAAATGCCTGAAATGAAAATTTAAATAATAATAAAAAAATCAGTCTAACATCGTTCGCTCAAACTCGGAAGGCCTGTGCTTTGTTCAAGAGATCGGTAATTTGAGCCAACCGAGGTTGAACTAGGGTCATGTACTATATCATATTATACGTGAATGTGTTCCAGCTTACCGAGGTCGAATGATAAATACGTCAACATAATTGTTTGTCGATTACGTTATTTCTTCTTAATATAAAGAATTACTGTCAAAAAAAAATACCATTGTTTTCAAAATGAGTATTAAAGGTAAACTGTGCTAATATATATTCATGCATATTGTAATTGGTTGCGTTCGACATTTCCTAACTTGTTGAACAATGTCAAAAATATATTTATATGTTTATGGGATAAATTTACCTAAATCAAAAAATCATTTTACAGCAGAATATATATGTAGTCAATTATTTAGATTACCTCATACATGTATCAGTCTATAAATAGATATAATCAACAACACGGTGACAATACACGTTACATAAATCACTGCAAAGGCCCACTTTGAATATTTACTGGGTAAACGTCATTTATTGACTTTTGCCGATTTAACTTATTTCGCAAGGGATATTCTTTGTATCTTTAATTTATACGCAAATAAAAATATTATCATAACAAACAAATCGGTTACAACCCCTCTAATTTTGTATCAATTAACCTTAATTGCCTTTATCACGATCACGAGGTTCTAAAGACATGTGACGCCGAATGCCACTAATTAAGAAGTAATTAAGAACATGTCGATCCGCAACTCTTGCCGTCTTTCTTTTGTTCGACTGAAAAGGTGTGATTTCACTATATTTCTGCCAAAGGAACCATAGATAAGGTCCGAGAGTTCGAGCGATCGGTGGTCGACCGATCTGAGGTAGAACAATACATATTTTACAGAATTATTTCCGGGACTGGGCCATGAGTTCAAGCGACGGGGGTATTCGAGCGATTGATCCGAGTTGAAGCGAAGTTTTAATTTATCTTGCTTGCATATTGCATGTGAAACTTCAAACAAATACACAACTATGTTACTTTTACAGTCAAAAATATAGCAGGCAAGATCAACAATACATTCCAACAAGGCTGAAATAACTATTCAAACAAAATTCACAACTATGTTGCCTGCTTTATATATTTGTTTCTTCTTTTTCTCCATGCCAATTTATCTCAGATTTTGAGTCTAATTGCCATTTGTCTTCCCCCGAAAGAATGATTCAGAAATCAAGCGGAGTATACCACCGGTCAATTGTGGAAAAATTAGTAAGTTCTGTTGAAACAAATTGATCAGTCAGTGGGAAATGAAATAATTTCTATAGAACAGAATACTGAGATCCATTTAAATGAGCATAAGACAGATTTTTGCAAGTGTTTTGCCGAATGTTTATTAATATCCTTTTGTATTTGTGCACATTGGCAATAATTAGATTTCAAGTGAACAGCGGGATGTTTTCGACAAGAAAAAAAAACTAATATAGAAAAACAATCGAAAAGGAAAAACGTTAGCACTTAAGAACACCCAACATGCGAAATTTTATAATCAAAGAACGCCCAAAATGGCAAAATTGAAATTGTTGCAAGTCCTGTTTTTATTGATTCTGTCCATTATGTAAGCCCCTTCTCTCCTCTTTCCACAGGTTTGACCAGAATTCACGTTAAAAATAAAAATAGCAGTCACTTTATGTTTACAAATGTTATTGCAAGTACAAATGGTCAACAAGACAGAGCAACGAGCACGGATTATAACCTACGCAATAAATTGAGGCAAGCAACGGAACTAAAATGAGGCAACAATGTTAAACACAAATGTTACACTCGAAATACATTGTATAAAGAGTACATTGAAGGTTCGAATACTTTATTTAAGTGGTGTATAATGATATTGATTTCAAATCCCTAACAATAATAGAATTAAATAACAAAATGCACTAACCTTTTGTATCTGGTCCTCAGATAAATCTTTCAAACTAAAACTTCCAGCCATGGCTTACTGACAAGAAAGATTCACAAACATAAAATGATCTAAATATCACGTGTTGTTATTACATTTACTTCGTTTGCAGATACAAAAATATTACTAGTCTCATGTTTTGTTTACAGATGTAATATGATGATTTGGTATAATAAATGGCCATAAAATAATTCAAATAGAATAAAGTACCTTCTTTACATCTGGAAAGAAGCGGTGGTTGCGATGTTTGGATTTTTTAAAACTCGGAGAAGGGTTTCCGACATTCTGTACATGTTTTAAACATGTCCGCCAAAGAACTGACTGCCTATTTTTGATATTCTACCGTAATATGTATAAACAAGTAGTGAAATCGTAAAAATAGAAAAATAAAAACCTTAAAGAAATCTTATTTAACGGCATTATTGAAAAGAAAATGTCCTTGACTACAGTCGTATGGGCAAAGAGATGTCATCGCTTCTTATCACCGGCCTAAGCAAATTGTGGCAATCACCGATAGAAAAAAAATTAACATAAAAGACTTAACATAAAATCACTTATTACAACCAATGAAAACAATGAGTAAATTCAAATAAAATGACTGGGCGGACCATCTGTAAAGCAATGGATTTAAACCGGCAATTAAGTACATTAGTACTTCTACATTACACTGCGGGTTTGTCGTAAGAAAGGTCGAGCATAAACTAGGATTAATTTTTAATTCTCTTACAAGCTTTATTTTGCTACATTGTTGTTATTGTTTGTTACTTGTTGATAAATATAACTGTTCTGTATGTTAAAACGTCAAATTATCCAGTTATATCTATGTATAAAAAATAACGTTTGAATCAGCTACAAAAAGACAAAAAGAAAACAAAAAACAGAGATATTTACATTTGTCAGATAAATCGTTAGTTTTATCTGTTGAATTAGTTTTCTACAATGATATTGTATGATTTTATCAACCTGGCAATTACATACTGATTATACGGTCAATGCATACAATATATTAATCTTCGATAAATTTCCGGAAAATCCGTGAGATGTACACAGTAAGAGGTGATTTAATTGAAGTAGTTATGCTGAGCGTTATGTATAGGTTAATGTTTATTCGTACGTATTCACCAAATTAAATTGGTCAGGCGCGCTGCAGTCAAATGGTTGAATGCCAACATAAAGAAATGTACTTTATTTTGATCCTTCAATATAGTTGCACGAGCACATTACGAATACACTTCTTAAGTCGTTCCTTGAAATTCTAAAACACAAAAGAGTAGTTATTCTTTTGTAAGCCAATTTCACTACAATATACAAAAGGGTTTTTATTTTTCAATAAAGGGAGCAAAACATAGATCAGGAGAATATGGTGGCCACCTTTACGTGTATAAATAACATAGATGATAAGGATCTTATACCGGCTACCAGTATAGACCGGAATATCTAGCTCGAGGGTAACTATTTATGGCGGTAACGAGGCTCTCATTTACTCGAAAGCTAGATATTCCCGTATTGTATAACATGAAGGTAAGATAGTTACATGTTTCGCGCATAGTATCTCTACCAGAGACTTCACAGCAGCAACGTGTTTTAAGGTGATTTTCAGTATTATGTCTGTCCAAACAGTTTCTGCCTTTGTCAGATTGGGTGCCATGTCTCTGAGAGACTCAACTGAGGTTTTAGGCATGATAGGACAAGAAATACTTATCTGAGGTTTGTGTACTATTTCATGTAAATCTGAAACAAACACTTGTGTGCAAGTGTTATGTTAAGATACTGTCCTAACCCTGTTTTTCATTAATAATTATCGTGCAAAATGACCCCAAAATGAAAAGTGTCGCAATGCTAATCACTCAAATCGGGCTAAGAATTGCAGTAACTTTTGATGATTTTCAATTTAATTCTGTGTATATTTCTTACTTACTAGTAGGGGAGAGGGTTTTTTTTTTAGAGAGGGCTCCTTTAACCTTCTGAATCAGATATAAAAGGTGTGTTTCGTTACACTTTTGATTCAAAAATGGGCATGCACTTCGCTAATGTATCTCTAGCAAACAACCATTCGTCAATTCATTTAAGGTACAACACTGATCAATATTAGAATCTGTACCTATGTACTTTTCACTTTTCAATATTACAATCTTCACCTAAGATATTGCATCTTATGACATATCTATCTATATATCTATCAATCGTGTGATATTTTCCATTTGTATATTGCTTAATATCAGAGTCCGCTTCTTTATATAGTGTGTATTCAACCTAATTTTTCACACTGTAATAAAATTATCATTCATCTTAGCATCATGTATCACTATGTTGATGGCATTGAATTTTTAAGGAGAATTAACCGCTAAATCATTAATAATAAAACTATACATTTCATAGTAGTAATAATAATTAATATAGTCACCTTTAGTATTTTTGCATACATAAGCACGGAATTTGAACAGTACATTCATAATGTAAGCAATGATTATTTGTTACAATGAAAACAGGATTTTCCCATGATATCCTAATCATATCGTCTCCGATTTCTAATTAAAAACTATTATTTTGTCGGCTTTATACATAGTTCATATCATTCAACATATCTCTTCTTTGCTGATGGTACTGTTTCTTGAATTCCATGGCATAGCCACGTGAACCAATTGTAGACCCTGTCTATAAAGTGCGACCTACCATTTTTTTACAAACGACCTCGGGGATTCGCTTCCTTTCTTTTGAAAAATTGGAACGTCCCCGTTACTAGAGGTCGTAAGCCATTCGTACTGCTATGAAAATTATCAATGACAAAGTAATGCTTTACCACATCACAGGTTCTGTGACGCTCCTCTTTCTCGTTATCCCTATCGGACGTCACTAGTGTACAGACTTATATCTACATCTCGACGCGGACAGGGTATACTAGTCTTACACCAGCTATCTAGCTTTGAGAGTAGCAGTTTGCGGTGGTAACGAGACTTGAGTTTCCGCTAAACAGTTACCCGAGAGCAAGATATTCCAGTCTGTGACGACAGGTGATGTTTGATTCTTTTTCTTGCATAAATGCATACTATAGTTGTATTTCAAAAAGAAATTATAAAAACTAATATTCTCGTTTAGCACAAAAAAAATGATTTAAGTCAACGTTCTAAGTTAATAAATTTGATGGTGTCGTTTTTCTTGATGAAATTTTTTATACGATGTCATTCGCTTGATAATTTGATAGTTGAATGAATGTCACCAATCTATAAAATTTACAGCGAATATTTGGTTTATACAGAATTTATTTTAGTTCGATTGTGTAGGAAGCTATTAGCTTATAAACACACTTTCGAATCCGTTCCTGGAACCAACCAGTACTGAGCAATGAGTGTAAAGTTTCTTGCTCAAGGAAACAACGACTTGCCCCTGTCAGGGTTTGAACCCATGCGGCTAGCGATCATAAGATTACTAGTCCGAAGCGTTAACCACTCGGCCATGCCGCCACTCAGCGAATATTTCTGAATCTGTTTCGTCATTTTAAACATAAATTGTTCATAAGACGAAAAATATATTATACACAATAATGTTATTATATACATGTTAAAATCATTCGGTCAACTAGTGTCTTGTAATAATGGTATTCCGTACATTCTAGGGAAAAGTTATCGTCGTGTGATTACAATGTTGTTCCCTCTGTTGTTGAATATAATCTATCTTTACCAAATATAACTAATAGCATTAAAAGTATTGGGATTTTAAACTTTCGTCTAATTGTTCAGAGCAAAAGCTTCATGAAAGTCAATTTTGATTGTATTTAAAAGACTGAAAACTCTTGAAGACATTCTTATTAATTGTACGATAATAAGGTCTTTTGACAATAACGCGAATTGTTCATCCAGATTATATAAAAGTAGATGTACACATTGCTATTTATTAAATATATATTTATGAATACTAATATCTCTGATAAGAATTATAATGTTATTTATGATTGTATCATAGTTTGGGGACCTTTCTGTTGAAAACGTGCCAGAATTAAATCGTATACATATACATGCACAGTGCGTGAACTGGAGTGCAGGTATTAGTTACCCTCACTCCAGAGCATGCTCATTGATTGGCTCATTTTTGCCGGGGTTTACTTATTGTGACTGACTGCAGAGAAAGGGAAAGCGACAGAAATTTCATATTCAGATGCTCGTTCATTGGTTATTTTTCTGGGGTTTCATATTGTAACAGGGAACGTGTTTTTATGTTTGACTATGATACAAAAGAGAAAAGCATCAAAACACTCGGCATTCTGATTTATACTCGGGGGCTACGCCCCCTCGTACAAATCAGATAGCCTCGTGTTTCGATGCTCTTTCTATTACTAATTGTGATTGGTCTACGAAAAATGTCTATATTTTGTAAAATTTATTTTAAAAAATGTACTAGAATGGTATCAATGCAAAAGGGATTGCACAAACACCCACAATAAATATTTAATTACCTAATGCTTTACCATCAAACTACTAATATATGTATGTATAATATATATTGCAACAACACAATAATAACATTTTACAACAGTTTTAATTGTAATCTATACTTTGCACAATACCAATACAATGTCATTCAGAAAGTAAAGACGTTTGATTTAATAAAACAAAAACACTTCCGTATATTGAACTAAGTGACGTTCGATTACCGAAATGTGGCAGACAACGTTGTACGGACGTTGCGTCTTTCGAAGACTAAATGTCGGACGCTATGTATTAAAAGCGACAGATTGTATAAGGCATTATTTGATGTAACTCGTGTGACTGGTTCAGTCTTTGGAACTAGCTCTGTGAAATCTTGTACAACATATTCTTGATTCATTGTGGCAGTGTATTTTTACTCTGAACTGAACTTTGAACTACAATTTTCATACAATGAACTATTATAAGATTTTAATTCTGAGAAAGAGAAAATGCAGAATCCCTAAAGAACGCCGAAAACGCCAGGGATACTGCATATTAATTCATATTTCGTCAATGTATTAATTCCTATGTAAGTGTTAAGTTTTGTTCAGATGCTTTTTTTGTTAAATCATATGTTAATTCCTTCTTCTAAATTTCAAGTTCATAGCACCTTACTGCAGACAGTTCATTCTTAATTGCCATCG